CGAGAGAAACTGCTTGTAAGTGAAATGACAGAGATTGAAATCCAGAGATCGGAATCTTTTCACGAATTATCTCACGTCTAGGACGAAGTCATTGGAGAAGAAACCGCATTCTTGACGTCATGGCAGACCCAAAGCTTGTCGATCCAAAAGCTCAACCGACTAAGGACATTGTGGAATCGCAAGGGAATCGATACTCTACAGAATCAATACTATGATTTCAATTGGACTGAGCAAAGGTGGGAGAAAGACCTGAGTTTTGATAGTCTTCGTATGCCAAGGTCCCATCTGTTTTCATAGCTAGCTATAGTCGCGACGGTGTCGTAAGGTTTCGGGCAAGAGCAAAGCAAAAGGACGAGACCATGATGCCCAAAACATGCAAGTGACTAGGCAGAAAAGAATCAAGGGCGATTTCGATCTCTATTTCAAGGCTATTTACTGCTTTGATACCATGCTAGAAAAATAAAATAATATTTACCAACAATTGCTAATTCTGAAAGTAAAAACTACTAAAAAAAGACAACAATAACCACAAGCCTTTATCCAACTAAGTAGGGTTGGCTACATGAATCATTTTTCTCCATCGTGTCCTATTGAGTGTCATATTTTCATTTAGTTCTAATAGATTAAGATCATTTTTTATACAATATGCCTAAGTCTTTTTAGGTTTTGCCTCTGCCTTTCTTAACGTCAGTCGAAACTCAACATCCACTCTCCTAATCGGATCATCAGCTGGTAGATGTTTAATGTGACCAAACAATCTAAGACGACTCTCTCACCACCATCTAATAAAATTTTTCTTTCAATTTAAGCATTACTTTTCTATCACATAATAGGCCTGAAACATTCCTCCACTTCAACCAGCCAACTTGAATTCTACTAAAACGTTCATATTTTTTAATGATTTGATCATGCAAAGTTACAACTGACACTAGAGATATTACTACTAAAATTACATTCCATGTATTCAGTTTTAGTACTACTCAAACGAAGGCCTTTAGACTCCAATGTAGACCTCCAAAATGAAAATTTTTTCTGAACACTTTCTATGGTTTTATCCACAAGAAGAATATCATCAGCGAAAACCAAACATCAAGGTACATCCTCTTGTGAATGTCCAGTAAGAGCATTCGTAACAAAAGCAAAAATATATCGGTTTAAAGTAGATCTCCGATGTAATCGAACTGAAATAGGAAAAAACTTGGCTAATCCTCCTTCTGTTCGAACACAAGTAACAACTCTAGTATACATATCTTTAATGACTTGAATATAAGTCATAATCAACACCATTCTTCTCTAGAACTCCCCAAAGGATTTCTCTTGCTATATTTTGTAAGCTTTTTCTAAATCAATAAAAATCATACATTAATCCTCCTTATTCTCTTTGTACTTCTCCATCAAACCTCTTCTACCATAAACCTGCTCGACATAAATCCAAACTGATTATAAGAAGTTTTTGTATCATTTCATAACATATGTTCAATTATCCTCTCCCACGATTTAAAAGTATGACACATCAACTTAATTCCTCTATAATTTGCACACACTTATATACCCCCCTTTATCTTAAAAATGGGGACCAAAATACTCTTCCTCCACTCCTCGAACATCTTTTTAATTTTCAAAATAATATTAAAAAGTTTAGTAAGCAAAGAAACTCTCAAATCTCCTAAATATTTTCAAACTTCAATTGGGATATCCTCAAGTCCTACTAATTTTTCACCCTTGGTTTTCTTTAAAGTCTCATCAGCTTCTTTCTTATTAAAGCGCCACTAAAAATAAAATATTTTATTATTATTAACATACTAAGATCACTAAGGTTGATCATATTTTTATAAATTTTATTGAAAAGTTAATCAAAATAGCTCACCCCCTATGTTGAATATCTTCTTCTAAGAAAAGCACTTTTTTAATCTTTAATTTTCATCTTTAATACATTTTAATTGAACTACATCTTTACTTTTCTTTTCTCTTTGTTTGGTTAGTTTATACATATATTTTTCACCCTCTTTAGTTTAATCTCTAATATATTATAAAAATCACTAAAAATAGAATTTTTAGCGTCACAAATTGTTCTCCTAGACTCCCTACGAGTCACCATATAACTTTCTCAATTTTCTAAGCTTTAACATTTAAACTAATTTTTATAACACTTCTTATATTTTATCTTCCCTTGCACATTATTACTCCACTACCAACTATTTTTATTTATCAATTTTTTTTCTTATGATTCTCCAAGTACATCTTTTGCCACTTATTTAATAATAGTTATTACTTTATCTCACATAAAATTTGTTTCTTCATGAACATCCCAAAATTTAACATCTTAAAGTTTATTCATAAGAAAAATTTTATTTGTCTTTTAGGTGCATCCATCTAATTCTGTGAAAATGATTCTTAATATTCTTTATCTTACAACTCTTTATCTTAAAATCCAAAACTAATAATCGATAATGAGTACTTAAATTTTCACTTGGAATGACCTTACAATCTAAAGTTTATTCATAAGAAAAATTTTATTTGTCTTTTAGGTGCATCCATCTAATTCTGTGAAAATGATTCTTAATATTCTTTATCTTACAACTCTTTATCTTAAAATCCAAAACTAATAATCGATAATGAGTACTTAAATTTTCACTTGGAATGACCTTACAATCTTTAAATTCTCGATGATGTCTTCTTCTCATAAGAAAATAATTAATTTGTGTTTTATTATAAGTAATAATATGTAAATCTCTTTTCTTAAATAAAGTATTAACAATAACAAAATCATACGCTAAAGCAAAATCTATTTTGATTCTATCTTCTTAATTAAACATCCAAAATTATAACCACAATGAATATTCTAAAATCTTGTACCACTCTACCAACATGTTCATTTAAATCTCCTCCAATAAAAAATTTTTCTTCAAGAGGTATCATTTGTATTAATTCTTTTAGGTACCAAATTTTTTCATTGGAATCTATAACTAAACCTATTTGAGGAGCATAAGCACTTATAACATTAAAAATCTTAGTATCAACAACAATCTTAAGGGTTATAATTCTATCTCCAATTCTATTAATTTTTACAACATATCTTTCAAACACTTATCTATAATTACACCTAAACCATTTCCATTATGACTCCTACCTGAATGCCGACGTTTAAAACCTAAGCTATCAATCTCCTCAGTTTTTTCTCCAATCCATTCAGTTTCATGAATACATAAGATGTTCATCTTCCTATTAACCATAATATCAACAAATTCTATTAATTTACTTATGACAATACCTATATTCAAAAATTCTAACATAATATCGATTTTATTTATAGAAACTACTAAAAAAGAAAATAATAAAAAATAGAATATACCAAAAGGTAGAGATTCCAAAAATTTTGAAACAAATTAACCTAAGTGGTTTGATATCCACCATCAAAATTACACAAATTATTTGTAACCGGTTCAATATTGATTATGGGTAAAGTAATCGTTGTCACTTTGCTAACATGTCCAAAGTTAAAATCAAATATTTATCAAAGTGGAGGCCTAAAACAGCTATAATTATGTCAATTTATGACAGCGTGTTTGCTAGGGTCTGGCTAGGAAATGACCAAAAGGTTGAATTAAATATTACTAGCAGAATTAGTTAGCATTGGAAAAAAGAATAATTCTCTAATTAGATGTGTAAAGTAATTCACTGTCACTTTGCTAACATGTCCAAAGTTAAAATCAAATATTTATCAAAGTTGAGGCCCAAAACAACCATAATGAGGTCATTTTATGAAAGTAGGGTCTGGCTAGAAAACGACCAAAACGTTAAACCAAATATTACTGGCAGAATTAGTTACCACTGGAAGACAGAATAATTCTCTGATTAGATAAGCTAATAAATTTGGATTTTCAGGTAGACCAAAAATAAAGATAACTACTTTTGTGTTTATAGAAACACAAAAGTAGCAAGCTCTATAGTTCACCAAAAATTCCTTTTGTGTGCTAACAGGAACATGACCTAAGCCTGACAAAGGTTGACCCACAGCCAAAATTTTTGTGTTGGGTTATCATATCGAGTGGGTTGAATATAGGCATGCCAAACCAGCTCTACGCCAGTAGTAAGCTCTATAGTTATACATTATTTATTGTCTAAGTAATTCAATAAAGCCTCCTAAACAATTTGGAGCATAACTCCATCTAGCATCAACTGCACTCTTCATGACCCTCAATTACATTAAAGTGCCAAGAGATGGGAGCAACACTTGCAGGCAATAGATTAAAGATTTCAATGTACGCCGTAATTCATTTTAAGAAGATTACGGAGAGTGTAAGACATCAAATCAATTTTCTATATCTTATTAAACTAGATGGAAAATTTTAAACATTAAAATGCCTTCAAATTTGAATATTGTTTCATTTTGAAAGGATGCTCTTCCTCGGCCATTTTACAATTGAAACTTCAAAAATATCCTCTCCTAACTCTTTTAATTTAGTTAGAAGTATGCAATTCACATTTCTAACCCTTCTCTGAAATTTTACAATGAATATCTCAAGAATTATCTAATAGCACTAAAATGAATAAATATCATTTTTTCAATCCTTTCACAAACTTTTTTATTCAAGCATTCTTCCAATCTCACATAAAAAAATTAAAACAAAGAGAACAGCACGACAACCAACAAAAATTCACAATTTTCCCAATTAAAGCTACTTCCATGGTACTTAATACCCCTTTCACCTCTACATATTCAGTTTAGAAGTAAGGGCTAATACAACAATAACAAACCTTTATCCCACTAAGTGGGTTCAGCAAGTAAGGGCTAATGTCTCCAAAAAAAAAAGCACAATAACATTTCCCCGATATAATATGCAAAATTTGGGTGGAAGGGACAAAAGCTAAGAGGAAAATCAAATGCAAAAATAGAAATATAAGCCGCCAGATTAGATATCCTCGAAGCAACATATGCATAATGTAGTATTTAATTAAGTTATTAAACATCAGAAAATCATTTGTAAAAATTAAGATACCTCACGCCTCCTAAATCAGTGCATGAACTTAGAATTGTCTGGTCACTATGAAGCCATGCCACAGTTCTGATGGATCCAGGTGATTTATTAATTTCATTCGGTGGAGCATCAGGTCTATTCAAATCAAATAAGCGCAATATTTTTTCAATTCCACCAGTTAGAAGCATATGGGTGTCCTGCAGCCAATTAAGAATACAAATAAGAGAAAGGATGCAAAAAAGTGGCCGCAAGCTTAGTCGATAAATATCCTGGAATCAAATTCCACCTATATTATATATTTGAGCTTTGGCACTCAACATTTCCAAAAAATACAAGGGTGCAAATTTGTAGTTAAGTTACAGAACTAAGCAGATGAGTGAATTGGTCATAAAAAATTAGATGGCATATCAGTTAAAGTGCAGGATAAGAAAATTCAAAGCTTCATACACAATGGAAGATCAATATGACATCTACTTTACCCCTTTATGTTTCCCAATTAATCTATCATATTGACTATTTAGTCTCTAGCAGCAGTATATCTACAAGTTCATACTGTGAATGCCTTCAAAACATTTCACAAAACACAAGACAGACCAAAAACTCCCAACAAGTACTTGCTACTCGGGAGTAGGGTTGCAAAAAAATGATAATAATAGGAGATACCCTGCGGTGTGTTCATGTGGTGTTGCGAGGAGGGAGGAAGGTGCTCGTCAAAAACATTTTCTGAAACAATAGTTCCACAGTCTAGTTGATCACAGCTTCCACCGCAACTTTTATTTGTTTTAATGCTCCTCCGAGGTAGTTATTTTTTCTCTGTTTTTCTTGTCATCACTTAAAAGATAATTATTAATTATCCTGCAACTCCATCCTATTTAAATTGTTCCCTTGCATTATTGTTCAATGTACTAGGATGACAAAATTTATTCAATGGCATCATCCTTTCTTTCTCGTTGATCCTAACTGATGCAGGAGAATGATAGCTGCCAGCATGAACATGCACTCATTAACGTAACTATGCTAATTCAAATTTTTAGGGAAAAAATTATAATCATTCGTGACCTATACATCTAGACTAGAGTGGGCATGTAGAGTATGCCACATAAGCCCCAATGTTGACAAATCTCCCTGATAGAATCATGAGAAGCTGCGTAAATTTTCCTGTTTCAATGTTTTTACCCTGACATAATTATGACTTATTCGTAGCATCAATATTATATAAATCAAAATGTCCTGTTTAAACTACTTTCTTTACTAGTCCATTAATGTGATGAATAGGTGCTTGAATGCATTAATCAGTGATACATGCTATAAGTGTAAAAATGTATAAATAATACATCACTTGATTTTTGCAATGAATTAAAAAATGCTTTGAATTTTGCTTCAATATTGCCCCCTTTTACTTCATACTACAGCTTTAACGTTCACAACATAGCCTACTGCTTTCTTTCTACTGAGAAAATTTCAGCCTAGCAAAGGAAGTGTACATTGAACAACGATAAGCTGCCTATTTGAACTGACATGAGCAGCCTACATTTTAATTGATTCAACTAAAATGCTTATGAGCTACAATGCAAAATTTAGTATACTTGCCAAATAGTACAAACACCGAGCTGTGATCAAGAACCAGAATCTATTACAACGAATGGTATAATCAGCAACATCAACAATAAATAATACACAAAAAACTGAAGCAACAATGATAACTGCAACGGAAAAGTGAGTTAGTCTGAACCACGTATAAACAACAAAAGAAGCTGGTACCTCAGAGAAGGAACAAGCACGAACAATGTGCTTGTGTTCAAAAGAATGCAACTCAGCACCAGTTAAGGCATCCCATACTTTCCTGCAAGCAATTGATGAGGAAATAAATGTCATCAACTTATGATCATCTTATGTTATTGAAATGTAAATGCTATAATTTTAATAAGTTATTGACAGGTTTTGAAAAAAAATATATTGGACAAATAAAAAAGTCCAAAACTTATAAATCTCAAGATAAATAGATGTTATCATCTGAATCCTGATGAATGATTGATTTTTAAAACGTAATAAGCTGGTCAACTATTCATGTAGCCAAAAAAAGAAAAGCGCAAGGAATGACTAATAAACTCAATCAAGAAAACTAGAGAAAAAAATCGTACGCCGAAAAATCAGCAGAAGCTGAAGCAGCACGCAAGGCATTAGCGTCAAGGCAACAGCTCCAAACTGCACCCTTATGTCCTTCAAATGTACCAATCCAGTCACCTGTCTCCCCGTTTCTCAGCATGGGGCTTGAATCTAGAGAAGAAGAAAGATAATATATTTCATATGAACAAGAGAATATTACAACAACTTATAGTCATTCAAATATTCACAGTAATATATACTAACATCAATAATCTGCATCAAAAAATTTAAGACGAAAGGCATCACTTCATCTAAAATCTTTCAAAGTGAAAATAAAGCAACTAAAACAAAATTTAATTTCTCTCATCCAAATAGTTGATAAGTGATATTAACATTTGTTAATCATGATATAAGAGAATTAAGCAGGAATAACTTTAACAATCTGGCTGATGGATAATGGTATCTTATATGAAACAGTACACTGTCTAGCAGGTCAGGAACAATCTCTCTCTATCCTTCCTAGGAATAACTTCATCTTAAGATTCTCGTTTTGGTCATATAATTCAGTTTTCAATGGCTTTTTCATTGTCAATGGAGAATAAAGATTCATGTAGCCAAACCCACTTAGCTGTTGTAACTATATATATAAATATATATATAAAGCCCAAGGGCTAATATATTAAAAGGAAAAGATATAACATGTTGTATGAGTGGGCCCAAAAGAAGGCACCCAACTCATACGGTACAACGCACACAAAATTCCAAAAATAGAAAAGAAACATATAATTAGGGACACCCTAATCTAGTCTTGTCTCTGCCTCTGGTTCTCGGAAAGGAGTCAGCTAACAAGTTGTTGAGGTGTGTACCATTATCCGAAGTAACCAAAGTATCATCCATTAGATTCCGGAGCTCAAGTAGGCGTCCATTCTTCTTCTTCCTCCTAGATATGTAAACATGTCATTCCTCATCTGAAGATTGATCGTTCGAATGAGGTGGTAGAACCGTAATAGAGAGATTACCAACCGTTGTAAGCACAATAGTTTCTAATATATTTGAAGTACGAGTTGTCGTCTCTGCTCTAGATGTTTTTTGAAGATGAGGAGTTGCAAGGCTCACCTGAGTACCAGTCTGAACACAATCCTTTGTAGGTAACGATCTTTCAGTAATGTTATCAATAAAGTTTGAAGATATAAGTTGCCCAGCAGAGCCATCCGACATCACATTAGTCGCAGAAACAGAAGCAGTATTGGCAAGGGGAGGATCCACAGACAAATCAGACACCAAATCCTGTCTTGTGAGAACTCCCTCCACAGGTTGAGCAGATGTATCCATAGCAATGGGGTTAGAACCCTCGTTTACTTAAGCTTTAGCTTTCAAATTTGGATGAAGTCTGTGACATTTATCAAGTGTATGCCCAAACATCATACAATGGGTACAATAAAAAGATTTACGTTCAACGAAAATTTGTTGTCAGTATCCATTGTGAGTTGTGTCCAGCCAGACTTCGGTAATATCATGTAAGGTAATATCCCTTTCCACAAGTATTATGGCCACAGAAGTCATGATTAGGTTAAAGGTTGGCAGATCTAGCTTCATAGGATCTCCAAGTATGGCTCCAATATAGTAGAAAATCTGATGATTAAGGAAATGCAACTTGAGACCAGGTAAATTAATTCATACCGGAACAGTAGGAGAATCATGATTTGGGTTAAAATCAAGAGACAATGTTAAGATATTTTTTAGAGAAAATTTGAGTGTAGTCTTCAACTAGGGTTAACTAAATCAACACATGTCTCTCATCAAAGAGCCTCACTTTCCATTAAAATCAAGAGACAATGTTAAGATAATTTTTAGAGAAAATTTGAGCGTAGTCTTCAACTAGGGTTAACTAAATGAACACATGTCTCTCATCAAAGAGCCTCACTTTCCACTTGTCTACAAGTTTGAGATCGTCAAAACTCTCTCTGATAACTTCCATCACTGAAATTTCTCAATAAGAGCAAACTTGAATTTCTCAGTTAGGGTTGAAATTTCTGAATCAGAGAAAAAGAGTGTTGTTTTCTCACTCTTCCTACTTATCTTCTTAAGAAAAAGGTAGTCACTCGTACCATCTCGACAATCCTTATAGCTTGAGGGGAAGACAACAGTAGACTCCACAAGATGATTACCCACCACGTGGACGAAGGAAGCTTTGTCAGGATCAACGAAAGAAGGAAACACCATCAAAATAAGCGTTGATCAGGCCGCAGACGGGGAAGAAAGGACGCCGCGAAACAGGCACAACGTTGCCGAACCACGAAACAAAGGACGTCGCTCGACTCGATCCCGCACACGCCGCGGAAACAGACGCCGCCAAAAACCGCGAAACAGAGGACATCGCTCGACTCGATCCCGCACGACACCACCGAAGAAGAGCCTGCAGCCTGTCGCATGGACGCACTCTCGCAGAGAATGAGCCGCAAGGATGATGACGCGCTAAACAGACGAAAATGAAAAGAGATCAAGCACGAGCAGTGGAGCAAAACCAGAGTTTGTCATAATGGCAAAACCCTGACAGAGCAATATCGAGGAAGACAACGTCATATGTATATATATAATGTGTGTGTGCGCGCACGCGCGTTTGTGTGTGTGTTTGTTACAAGTTTTATGTTTGTTTTGATGGGTCTAACGCTTTGCAATATGATAATATGCCACGGAGAGCAAATTTTGTAACATAACAAAACATGCATACCGCTAACAAACATGCAATATTCACAGCCAAAAAAGCCTGTTTTCGGTAAGCACGCTAAAAGTAAAGGTCAAAAAGATGCTTTTTTAATTGGAAAAAACAAAATTACAAGTCCAGTCTCCACTATATCATACTATGCTATAATACCCTCAAGTCACTTTTCCATTCAGTCATCCAACACTCTTAGGAGTTGTTTGATTGCAATCATTTAGAATGCAAAATTATTTTAAATACAATCTAAGTAAAATCATGCATTTATAATATTTTGTTGATGTTTGGTTGTTTGTAAGAAATTTTATGAGTTTATTTTATTGTATTTTGTTGCCAACAAAATATTTCAAATACTTACGATGGCGGCTGCCAACGATAGCGGCCTGCAATGGCGATAGTAAGTTTCAAAGGTGGCGCGCTATAGCAACAGGTAGTAAGTTGCGGTGACAGGAAACACCAAACAACTGGCTTACTAAGCGTCAATTTTCAATTCATTTATAATTTACTGAAATTGAGTGATATCCAATCACAATAAAAATAACAAGGAAAGGGTTTTAAAAACAATAAAAAGATCATATAACAATTGCTTTTTCTGTAATCCAAACACAAAATACAAAACCGTCCATTTGATTTACTTAAAATTGCAATGCTTGCAGCCAAATGGCCTCTTGGAAGTTATCACCTTATCCATTTGACTATAACATAACTAAATTATTTAAATCTGCCACGTCCATGTTGAACTACCAAAAATAGTGATTAATAATAATTGTACATTCATTAAAATTGAGCATTAAAGCCAGGCGTTTAAAATAAACCCAATCTCCTTATCACCTAAAAAGTGCTTTATTTATCTAACTATTCATTTCAAAAAAAACATATGCTAAATTTATCTCATCTAGAAAATAGCATGCGTGAAAATACCTCATTTAAACCATTTTGTAAGCAGCATAATAGCAAATATAATAAAGAAATAAAATGGCGATAATAATTCCAACTCCCATATGATAAGACATTCTTGGTCACTCTACAACTATTTATGATGCCAATCAGAAATTCATCATGCATACTTTAGTAGCACCATCAATACATTCCATGTAATGAACATTCAAATATGCATAACTAAATCAAATCTTGTAGCCATCAATCATAAATTTTTCCATTACTAGCGAGATCCATATGGCATTCCTTACTTGCTCACTAATTCTTATAGGCCATTGTACGATCTCTAAGTTTGCTTTCCAGATAGCTATCATAATAAGTTCTTAAGTCAAGATTAACAAAAATGTTTACTCCAATCATTTGCATTTCCTAGTACTTAGAACATCAATATAAGAACTTTTAACCATAAAATTCAATAATAGTACAAAGTTGTAAGAAATTTTTAAAAATAATAAGCAAAAATAGCCAATAGCCAAAAGATGAAGAATAAGGAAAAATGAAAAGTTTACGTATATGAAAAACCAATAAGACAATCAAAACAATTAGCTAATGGAAGTTGCTAAAAAATAATAAAAGAAGAAAAAATTGATGCTTATAGAGGGAAATGATGCTAAGATAAAAACGTTCATAAATTGTGCACAATGTGACATAAAAAGCCAAAATCAAAAAGGAAAATATCAGAAAAATCTCTTAGAATAAAAAGGTTCTTTCTAAAGAGTTATTGTCTAAGCATGTGTTCCCAAAGCACGTTATGTGCCTGCATTATTAAAATAAAATTCACAAGAGGGCTAAATGCAATGCCTAAAACACTACTGACACTGGAGTGTTTCCCGCACTGACAGGGGATCACGAGTGATGGGGTGCAGAATAGTGTCCAAGCGCATCCGAACGGTTCAACGTCCATGAGAATCAACCGGCTCATCCAAGGGGATTAACGCCTCTTCCAAATTAAAGGCCCCACTCCTAGTTATCCTCTTACTATATATTTAATTCTTGTAATTTAGGTTTGTAGTTTTTCGTGAGTTTTTTGTCAGGACAGCCATCGGCGTCTCTAAGTTTCCCTTTTTATGGTTGTATCCAAGGGTGAGTGGTACTCCAACTGTACCTTATTATAAGGTGGTGGTTCTCCTCCAAGGGTCAGGTGGTGCACCAGCTATATCTCACTCCCAAAGTGGCATTTATCCTCGACTTTCCCATCCTCCGCATTCCTCCCTTCCAGCTTACTGCCGCCTTCTCGGAAACCCAACTTACCCCTTCTCCTAGCTGCCAACACCCCTAAACTGTCTTCTTCTTCACTGCCCCCTTACAGGACAGCACTCCTCTTGTTGTCCTACAATCCAAATCCCTCCTCTTCACTATCCCTCGCCATCCCAACACTGCTTCGTTGTTGCAGTCGTTCCAGACCTTTTGCCTCACTGTCATTGCAGTTTCATTGCAGTTCCAGCCCCTCCTTCGCATTTCCAGCAACCCCAAAGCCTATTCCAGGCACCTACCAACACTCTCCGACAACCTA